TTTCAGCATCATTACTCCAGTCTTCAGTGTCACATGATCCTTCAGAAATCATTCTAATATGCCGATTTGCTGATTTGAAATTATATTATTATTATCAGTGTTGAAAACAGTTGTGCTGCTTCATATTTTTGTGGAAACACAATTTTTCATTTTTTTCTGAATAGAAAATTAAAAACCTATTTAAAATAAATTGTTTTTTAGTGATATCACTGTCTAAAAATCTAACGTAGTACAAAAATAAATACATTTTATTAACAAATGAATAAATAATATTTATTAATAATCATCATTTAAATAATAAAACCTAATTTCATTCATATTCGCTTATGTTCAAATATGGTGCATGAAGACGGACAGACTGAACATTCTGCCTAACATCTCCTTTTGTGTTACACATAATATATTTTGAAAAAATCACAAAATAATGGCAAAATAATTTTGGGTGAACTATACTCCTCCGTCTTGCATAAATAATTTCCTCAATTTATTGACAAATAAAATTCACAAGCCCTAGCATCTTTTTTGAAGCCACACCTGTTTTCTGCTCTCATTAGGATGAAAGACATTGTTCTCAGAAAACAAACTATACATTATATGCACCACCAGTGCAATGTATTATGCCAATGAAAGGTGTTTTTAGCCCACGTGACACAGTTCATGATTAGGCTGGGTTGTTTTGGTTTTTTTTTTTTAAATACAAGATTAGTGCAATTAGCAATGCGGTCACGACCGCAGGGGCATTACGGAGAGTATTGTCTGAGTTGTATTGCTCACCCACAGTGTCTTACAGAGAGGAAAGAGAAAGGCGTGAAAGCGCAGTGTTACTCACTGGATTAAATGAGGTCATTTCTGTCTGATCACACAATGCTTCCAGTCTTCCCCCGACGTTAAGATGAAGCTCTATTGGTGGGAAGTGACAGTATTGTTCTCACTTTAGTTAGTGAGTGAGTGAGTGAGTGAGTGAGTGAGTGTGTGTGTGTGTGTGTGTGTGTGTGTGAGTTGTATTGCTCACCCACAGTGTCTTACAGAGAGGAAAGAGAAAGGCGTGAAAGCGCAGTGTTACTCACTGGATTAAATGAGGTCATTTCTGTCTGATCACACAATGCTTCCAGTCTTCCCCCGACGTTAAGATGAAGCTCTATTGGTGGGAAGCGACAGTATTGTTCTCACTTTAGTTAGTGAGTGAGTGAGTGAGAGTGTGTGTGTGTGTGTGTGTGTGTGTGTGTGTGTGTGTGTGTGTGTGTGTGTGTGTGTGGTGGGGGTAAGGTAACATCATGAGCACAGCGAAAACCCCTCATTAGGGAGTGATTCATCTTATTAGTAGCATGTCAAAAATGCAGCACGTGGGGCCCAAAGAAAGGGTACTCGCAGTCAGCTGATGACGATGAGCTTAAATACACAGACAAACACACGCACATGGCCACACACCTGTGCAGGTGTGCTTTTCGAGCTGCTTCATTTGAAGCCTGGTCAGATCTGCCCGTTCTCACCACAATAATAGATCAAAAAGGTCTCGCCTAGCCCAAGCTTTTATGAGAGCGTTTAAAAATAAAGTGCGTAGCCTACGTGTGAAAAAGAAAAGAAAAAAGTTGTGACGGCGGTACAAACATTGCATTCTAAAGACAGGTGCACTAATGAGCATAGACTATATATTAAAATGATCTTCCTCACAGTATGTGTGGGCGATATATTCATCATTTATGAAAAATTCTATAGTTTTATAATGATATTCTAATAGACATTTCTTTTCCAAATTTTCCATTAGCACAGTTTTTCCATGACTTTTAAGTACAGTATGTGGGCGTGAAGAGTATATTTAGCGTTAAAAATATTAATAGCATGTCGGATTAAAAACTCTGATTTAAGTTTTTCAAACTGTCCAGTTCAATGAATCTGTTCAAAACTTTACTTGCAGCATCACTCAGAAATGTTCATGGAAGTCCCTTGGTGCTTTAAAATCATAATAGAAAAAATATATTTAAGTGATTATTGTTCTTGTTGTTGTTATGACTTTTTTTGTTATATTGGAGCATAAAAATCTTATTTTATGTATTTTATGTCTTGCTTCTTGCTTTAAACATTTTGCATACGTCGCAAAAATGGTTGTTTGGTCAACGTAAAAAAAAGCTTTTTTTTGTTTAAGCAATTTTGATTACATTTGAGATATTTTGGCATATTTTTAGGACACAAGTATAAAATCACACACACACACACACACACACACACAATACATACATTAATAAATTAAATAAATGTACCCTTTATGCCATTTTGTTTAAATATTGAGATGTAGACCTACACAAATATCATAAAATTATTTATGAAGCATAAAATATACAGTATAAAAAAATTCTAAAAATATGCAGTAAAATATAAAGAATGAAGGCTTATATATTTTAATATATAAAAGAAAATTTATATATATATA